TTACATTATCTTTTTTCGTTTTGGTCTGTTTTTTTGTTTTTTTTACTGTTCCTTTTTCTTCACCTCAGAATCAAGTAAATACTGTGGTGACTCACCAAATTTATTAAGTTTACTGAGCTTTCAACTGGTGTTGGAAACAAAATTAAATTAAAAAGAGGCCAAGTCAAATAGTCTGGCAGAGGAATTGAGGTGGCATCAGTACACAATTGGTAATTAAAACCATGGTCTTGGAAACCATGAATGGAATTCAGCGCAGACCCTTTCTGGATGTAAGGAAACCATACATAATACAAATTACACTGTTGGCAGAGTATCTCAGAAGGTGTCAGAAGAGTCTCAGTGTCTGAAAAGAATGGGGTTTTCTGAACAGTAAAAAATGTTTTAAAAAGGAGTACCAAGAAAGAAAGCACAAGTACATAATTCAGAAAGGAGAAGAATGAGTAATGCTATATAGGACGCTTCAGATTTAAGATCGAGGTATTGCTAAAAATGGAGATCCTGAAAAACGGGTAAAGGAAGTAGATTTAGATGGGGAAGAGGTTAAAATATGTTCTGTTTTTTTCCAGCTTAATGACAGATAAGGGATCAGGACATGTCATTCTTTAGAAGTAGCAGCATTAGTTTGTAAGAACGGACAGTGACGACAGAAACTGTGTCGAGAATTAAGAAGCACATTTTCTTTGTCCTCAACAAAATATCCTGGAAAAATGAGCAGCAATTACACAGTTTCCTATTAGATGCAACATACGCGTATACCCATGATCTCGAAAGGCCTAGAAAGCAATATACACCACGCAAGCAGAAAATACAGGAGCAATCTGAGACAGAGGACTATGCTAAGAAGTTCCCTGATTTAATGTCAGAGGGTTGCTAGATGTTGCATACCAAAATCTGAAGATAATGGAAAGGGGTTTCAACTTACTCTCTCGAGGCGCGGGTCCTTTGAACTGACTTCTGATAGGCAACAGTGCCATGTTTCCAATGAGTTTGGTGTCGGGGTCCATGAGAGAAGAGTGATAAGCCTGTAGTGGCACGCCAGGTAAGAATACAGAAAGGGAGAGCAAATGTTGGCGGATCAGGGAAGTACATTTCTCCAAAGAAAAAAAAGAGTAACCCAATTAGAGGAAGCGGCAGAAGGGATGGTGGCAGCTGTGTGCTGGAGCTGGCTCTTACTGGCTCATGAAAGCCAACTGTTCAATTTCTAGGAATTTTGAGAAAATTTGAGCCAAGCTGGTTGTTGAACACAGTCATTAAAAATTATATAAATTTGCAATAAATTATATTAATAACAAAGGTAATAAATACTCAAAATTCATTACTTCCTATTAAAAATATTTTAGGGCTGGCCAAGCGGCATGTTGGTTGAGTTGGCTTGGGATGCCAGCTCTGAGCAGCAGGGCCCAGGTTTGGATCCCACATTACAGCCAGTGACACTGCGCCCTCTACAGCTAAGATGGTGAACAACAGCTC